ACCACTTTTATTTTATGTTGATCTAGGTCAGTCCGGGTTGACCCATCTAACACGTGACTCGAGTCTTGTCTTAAGTTGATCCTCTATTCGAGTTTTAAAATTATGATAATAATTATTTTTATCAGTACATTAACCTAACTTAATGATCAACCTCACTCGTGACCTAAGAATTGCCCAAGTCGACCTCTAAATTGAGTTTTAAAATATGATAATAACTATTTTTATTCTTATACTGACACATGTCCATTCGACCAATGCCCCGGGCCTTGACTAGTAACCTGAGAGTTGTCCTGAATCGACTCTCAAGTTGAGTTTTAAAATTATGACAATAATCATTTTTTCGGGCCTCAACTAGTGACCCGGGCCTTGACTAGTAACCCGAGAGTTATCCTAAATCGACTCTCAAGTTAAGTTTTAAAATTATGACAATAATCATTTTTACCTTTATATGTCTTAGTTGGAAAATTTGGAATTGAGTGTTTTTTATAAGGATATTTTAGGAATAAAAAATAAAAAATAAAAAATATTATCTTTAGAGACAAGTCCCTTTTATACCTCACATTTTAAAAGTCTAAAAATTCACTCCAAAATTATTCTAGAGACAAATTTATTTTATGTTTGTCTTTATATTTGTCTCTTTAACCAAACATATTATACCTCTATTGTCTCCATCTTTTTAGAACAATGACCAAACATTACCTAAAAGATCTACAACTGTCAAGGACAAACTTGGCTTTATTTCATCCTTGATTTCTTCTTAGTGATGTCTCACCTATTTGTAAAGGCACTTGATCGAAACTAGTTGATTCAAATGTAGACTTTGAGAAAAAAAATTCATAAATTAATGTTTGAATCTTGGTGTTTTTTATTGGCTTAAAAAAATTACCAACCCACCAAAACCTGCTAATCTAGGATTTTAGCTAAATCAAGCTTTAAGCTAGATATAATAACTATGATTTCATAAAATTACTATGAACTTCCCTTCTATGTCTTCTTATTTACTCATTTGATTTTATAATGTTAAGATGTTCACATTTATATCATGATTAAACTCTAGGATATCATTGAGTTATTGTCTAGGGATAAAAGGGATGAAGACAATAAAGATAAAATTGTGTTGGGTTGAAAAGATAGAGATATAAAAATAATTTATTCATAGGACAATTTTAGAGTGAATTTATGTACTTCCAAAATAGAAGGTACAAATAAGATATATCTTCATAAGCAATATGTATTATTTTTCATTTGTAAAATATCATTGTAAAAAACTTTAAATTTCAAAATTATCCAATTAAAACATGTGAGAATAAAAAAAATTATTATTGTAGTCTTAAAACCTAACTTGGGGGTCGGCTTGGAGTAAGATATGTGATCCTTGTTGATCTAAGTTAAGGTAAGAATAAAAATAGTTATTATCATAGTTGTAAAATCCAACTCGAAGGTTTTGGGTTAACTATTGACTTGGGTTAATAAAATAATAAAAATGGTTATTATTATAATTTTAAAACTTAACTTGGAGGTTAACTCAGGGTAATGCCCAAGTCATAGATCATGAGGGTCAACTATGGCTAAATTAGATCAATGTAAGGATAAAAGTAATTATTACCATAGTTTTAAAACCTGACTTAAAGGTCGACCTAGGGTAAGCTCATGTCATGGGTTAGGAGGGTTAATGTATGAATAAAAATGATTATTATTATAATTTTAAAATCCGACTCAAGAGTCAACCTGGGGGAAAGCCTAGGCCATAGGTTGTGAAAGGGTTAACTCAGGTTGACCCATTTTTTTTTTTAAAAAGAGAATCAACACAACTTTGTTTTGACCAAGTTGTTTTTTAAAAAAACAAAATAGCAGGCTTTGACCCTTATTTTATCCCGAGTTGACCTGTGTTTTATCCTGAATCAACTCAAGTTTTTTATTGGGTCAATCCTTCTATCCTTTCTTAAATTTGGATTGATCTAGGCCTAGAGATGAGTAGGTCCCGACTTGATCCACTAGCATAATTTATATTTTATAACTAAGGTTATTATAATATTATGAATTTTAACATTTAACACAAAATCTAATTATTTATATAAATATATAAGTTTAAGAATAATACATATTAAAGATAAAATAATTTTTTTTATTTATCATTATCAAATAATATATAAATACAGTTACTACCATATATAATTTTGTTTTCATCTTTGTTTTTGTGTTGTTTCATTTGTATTCATAGTTTTCGTCTTTTTTTTTGTCCATAACAGCAACGAAATACTATATGGTTGATAATATATAGAAACTTCATGTTCAAGCCTTTCTCTTGTCATATATTTTAAATAAATTGAAACACAATTGCGAGAAGAAAAGGAAGAAGATGACATGTGATCCTGGTGCCATGCAACATTTTGACTTAACAATATTTTGATATTTCCATTAATTTATAATATGCAAATATACTTCCACGTTTCTTTTATTTGGATAGAACATTTTTCCAATAGAATTTTTTTTTTAATTCTATGTTCATGATATTTTTTAACAATAAAAATAGCATTGAATGAGTTTATACTTCAATTAAAACTAAAAATGTGTTAAGTACAATGGATTGTACATGATAATATAAATACTAAACAATGTGTAATTAGACTGAATTGAACAAGTTTTTTGATATTTCATGTAGTTTTATGGTTTTTAATAACCTAACAAGTTTTTCCATGTTCTAGGTAAATAATTCATTTTGCTTAAATAATAATAATAATAATAATCACCTTAAAATATTCTAATTAAAAAAGAATATTTCAAGTTTATTTTTAATGATATATATATATATATATTCACTTATTAAAGGGAAGGATAGTGATTTGAGATTAGTTATAGCAACAGAACTTAACGAGGAGCAAGATTCAAAAGAATACTAAATGATAAATTAAAATTTGGCCCATTTACCTTTATTATATAATTTATATTTTTTTTTAAGAAAAGTTTTGACTATATAAGCATGAAACTCATTTAAAAATTTTGCTATAAAAACATAACCTTATATTTTCTTTTTAAAAAAAAAAACCATAAAGTTTCAACTTTTGACCACAAAGTTAACTTTTTAATTAAGATAAAATATTTTTTTATTTACACATTTCTTCAGAAAAAAAAGTTATATAACCCTTTAAAATATTATACCATCCAAGGAGTTGACTATTTAATAAATACTAAATTTTATTTGCAAATTCTTTTGTTTGAGTGAAAACAAAGCTGGTATTTTATATCATAAAATTTGATTTCTCAATGATAAAATCTTTTTAAAATTTATACAATTCATAAGTTCTCAATAATTAATGATTAATAGATATTGCACAATGAAATCAAATAATTTTCTTATCCTATGTTCTGTACACAATATATAAGATTAAATAATTTTGTTTTTATCATTGAGAATTTTTCAATAATTTATTTTAGTCTTTGCATTTTTATTTTTTTGATATTTTATTATTTCTTTGTCATCTAGAACGATTTAGATAGCATTTGTTTACGATGTTGCGACTGTATTTCACTTGAAATATAGCTCCTGCATGTTTGGTTAAGAAAAAAACAGAATTTATTGTTCATGGACTCTGCCTTTTACGACATTTGCAACGCAAGAACGATCAAAGCAGTTTAGGGTTGCTTTTGTTGCAACTATGTTACAACATAGTAAACAATGACGTGCCTTACAGTAGAGGAATAACCATCCATTTCCTTTTCCTTCTCCTTCCTTTTCTCCTTCTTCAAAGCAGCTTAGGGCTGCTTTTGTTGCAGCTGTGTTACAACACAGTAACAATGGCGCGCTTTGCAACAGAGAAATAACCAGCCCTTCCCCTTCTTCTTCTCCTTCGCCTTCTTCTTGTTCTTCTCCTTTATCTCCTTCTTCTTCTACATCATGTCTCCATTGTTTTGCAATGTGAATACTGGAGACTCCACTGCTCACGTTGAAGAATGGTCGAGCGCAGTCCCTCACCACTAGCAAGGGCCGCTACCCCTTCTTCTTCTCTTTCTTATGCACTTCTCCATGTCTCCACTATTCAGCTACATAAACAGTGAAGATCAACTCTATTGTTAATGGGTTAGACTGGGTCTACCCCAAACCAAAATGCATTGAATTAGATCTGTCCTGAACCTAAATGTATTGAACCGGATGTGACATAGTAAAATAAAAAAAAATCTGAAAAGTTTTCTCAATATTGTGTTTTATTTGAAAAACTAATATTTAACATAATTCAATGGCACTACATAATTATATTTGAAGGAAATCATATGATGGCATAACATTTACAGAATTTGATTGCAATCTCAATTTTGTTCCTAATGATATTTTACCTTATGTTGTTGCATGCTCAAGAAACCATAAAAACTGTAGTCCTTATTGAATATATTTCATACATGATGAAATTGAACATAGTTTAATCTGACAATAAAAATACTTTATATAAAATATCATTTATTTCATGATATAATAACAGAAATTAAATCGTTAATATTTCAATTAAAAACCATCAATATTAATATATGTTTTTTTTATTATTTTATAACCTCCATTTGAAAGGTATTTTTTAACCAAATAAATTAAACTACTTTTTATTCCACTACAATTTTAACTAAACATATATTTTTCCAAATCAATCTCAATTAAAAATATTTTTTATAAAATATTTTTTTTCAAATCACAACCACAATAATTACCACAATATCAAGTACACTTACTTCTTAAATAAAAAAAATTATGCAATTAAACTCTTGCATGAACATATTTATTTTAATAAAATTGATCAAATTTTAGTTTTGTAAATTAAAAAATAAATAAAAAATTAAAAAAAATTATACTATCTTTTATTCCGAGGAAAACTTTAGACAAGACAAACATCAGTTCTTATCATGTCCAAAGTGTATATCAACCATTTTACAACTTGCCATGTGCAACAAATATAGCACTACTTGTTTTTATTGTAGAAAACAAAAAACAAAAAAGAAAAAGAAAAAAAAGAAATAGGAATCTGGAAAAGAATAAAGTCATCTACTTCACTTCAGTCCAGCATTCCTCACCTCTCCCGGCCCTCCCTCCCTCCTTCCCTCCTCCGCCTCTCGGAAACCGCCGCCGCCAATAAGGCTTCAGGTTTGTGCCAGGTGCTTATTTGCTATCATGTTTTTGTTTTTAAAATTTATGGGTGTTTTCATTTATTTTATTGTAATTATTATTCAGAGACAGATTCTATTTTAATGAGTAAATTAAAAAGATAATAATCGATCCGAAGAAATCTCTGCTAGTGAACGCAATTCGATTTTAATAAGTAAATTAAAAAATATATACAATCGGATCCGATTAAATCGTTGCTCGTGAACGCAATTCCAAGAAACGCACAATCAGCCGATTCTAATATTTTATTTTTCAATTTCCCCCTTAATTTACATGATATTATCCGATTTTTCTCACAGTTTTTGTTGTAATAATCAAGCCCTGAATTCTTGAGCCCAAATTTATTTTATTTTATTTTTTAGTTTTATTTTTAAGTTGTGAATAGAAATCAATTCAAATCTTTTAGGCTCGATCGATAATTTGTTTATTAGTTTATGCAGCAGGGGGAGTGGAAGAGATATTACTGCCGGAATGACCGAAAAATGAACTGTTTGGTTGATTCTTCTTTTTTGGAATTTACTGAATTCTTCAAAATTATTGTGTTTTTAACTACAAATCGATTTCCTTGGGTTTTAAGCTCGCAAGAAAAGAACTTTAAATTTTATAATTTGGTCATGTTAACGCGAAAAAAATAAAAATAACAGGTCTGCCTCGATAACCCTACATGATATATCTTTCTTTTTAGGACTGCTCAGCTGGTCTTGAGTATGAGGTGAAAGCTTGAGAGCACGTGGAAGAGTAAAACAAATGACTTCGTTCACTTCACCCCAAAGGCGTACCTGTGCATCTAGTTAGGAAGAACATTTTATAACTTACCTCAACGTCGAGCATGGTCAGGGTTATTGTGTTGTCTATTCCGAGAAAGATGTGCCTGTAAATTTAATCTTATTTCAACAAGAGTTGTTAAGTTGATTCTTATCAGTCTGCTCATTAGAGTTGATGATAACATGAAATATTCATGGTTAATGCTCGTCGTTTTGTTCTTCTTTTTCCTAGCTTAAAACATCCTAGACAATCTCTTTGGGATGGGTTATTGTTAGTGGCCTATTCATGTTCTATTTGCTGGGGCTGCTGATATTCATCGGGGATTGAAAAGTCTTGTTTGATGACTTTGTTTTGTTTTCTTCTTCTTTCTTTATTCTTTTGGGGATGTGGTATTCTCCTCGTTCTATTTACACCATTTGCTCCCTACAACATTTAGTCTTTCAGAAAAGTTAATGCATGCATAAATAACAAGAACAGGAGGGGAGGGGGAGGGGGTTGACTCTATGCATTTGCTTGCGAGTAAAAATTGGTAAGCACCTGAAAAAGGTCCGGTGCTGAATCTAAATTGGTAAGATGTGATATACTGATATCCAGAAAGATAACTTAATCTATCTATTGAAGTTAAGCATTTAAATGCGTATACAGTGTTTTTGGAACATTAAATATCTATTTGATCAGAATCTGTGAACCTAAAACCACAATGAATACAAATGCAAGTTTGTCATTGTAAACATTGCATCGATGATGTATCACAAGTGTTGCTAGAAAACGTCAAGTTAAAATTGAAGCACCATGAGTTTCTCTATGGCTTGGTTTACCAACACTC